ACTTTTTCCTTAAGACAATATTGCCCCGCAACGGTGTTAACGGAATACGGCACTTGTCTGCCAAGACACAGCGGATACAACTTGTGGTAGAAGCACTTCAAACCACAAGTAGCAATGAATTTGGAACGAAAATTTCTCTCTACAAGAAAAATGATTTTGTAATGACTTTTGGAGAGTATTTTTGTAAGAGTTTTGATGTAATGATCAATGCAAAAATGATATGGGATGCATAATGAACGTCCAAAGAGTCCTATACATAGAAGATGAAAGATTGTGAGGGAAATGTCACGCCTCAAATTTATCAACCTTGACAAAGGGAATCATCATTTACTGTCGCTGGCCTCTCACTCGAGCGACAGTGACACCTTTTCATCATAGTCTCACTCGCTTGTCTTGCTCACCTATCGCTAGACTATCACGCGAGTGAAAGGGTGAGCTATGGAGATAGCCATTTTCCCAACCTGTATTTTCTCTTTTCTATCCAATTTTGGACCGCAATTTCTCATTTATCTGAAATTGGTTTTGAGATTTCAAATATACCACAACGATTTACTCGATGAGTAGAACAAGTTAGATCAAATTCGAATATTTGAGCAAAGTTGACATGAAGTCACTTTTCCATCCTTATATTAGTTAAAAGATCCATCCAGTTTTAGTTTCCTTTTAAAAAACCATTTACACTCTAAAGACTTGTTTTTAGGAGGTAAATCAACTAACTTCCAAGTTCCAAATATGATTTTGCATTTTAGAATTTATCTCACTATTGAGAACTTATTTCCAATGCGGTGCTTCCGGTGTAGACATTACTTCATCTAAAGTCTTTAGTTCATTTTCTACCATATATGTCAGAAAATATGTGCCAAACAAAGTAGTTATTCTAGCCCTTTTTTGCGACCACCAACTCACCACTAGCACAATGCCACTACCACACTAGCTCCAAAGTGCAACTGTCTCCACCTACGCTACCACCACATGAATCGCAACCAGCACCACGATGTCATCGCCACTGCCTGTACCACAACTATTTGTGACCACCACCTCACAACTGCCAACAACGCGAAATCTACTACCACACCAGTGCCAAAGTCCACCTGCCTCCACCACCATATGAACCGCATCCTCCAATGCCACCATCACCGTCAATATCTTGCCATAACCGCCAACAATACCACCACCTCACCTTACCCCACCACCAATACCACCACAATCACCGTAAAACCACCAAAATATGAAAACCACTACCACCCATCCAACAATTAAAAAAAATATCGCCAACGTAATCTGGGCCGCTGCAGCCACGATCTGCAGAGCCTCCAATGGCGCACACAGTGAAAGAATGGCTTTTCCCGAGGTTTGCAGAGCTTTTAGCGATCTGGGTCAATACTAGCGCAATTTGCTGTCAAGAAATGGCTTCAATGACGATGCTCACAACGAAGATGGTAGAGTGACGCTCTCCGACGACGAATGTTGGTGGAAAGTGTATAGAGTAGGGGGAGGAAAATGAGAGAGAAATGGTGAGATATAAAGAGAGAATGGAGAGAGGAGAATGAAGATAAATTTAGGGTTTGTGGGTGAGATGAGTGGATGTGGTACGTTAATTAATTTGATTTTATAATATTATAATTAATATTTAAATTTTTAATTATATCTGATTTTTTAGAATAAACACTTGTATCCCATAATCATGAACTGTGATCTTGAAAACACTTAGGCCATGTTTGATATCCCCAATTTTCAATGGAACTTGGAAATCATTTTCTATTTTCCATCTTTTACATTGTTTGATAGGAAGAATTTTTCTTGGAATTGATTTTTCACCATATCCCTCACGTGACCCATTTTTCCTTGTTTTCCTTGAATTGGTTTTCCCACCACTTTGGTGGAAAAATGGTTTTCCATTTTTTTCTTTTGATAATGAAAACAAATTCTATCCCCAATTGTAACAAATTCCATCTCTTTAATGGACAATTTTCATATAAAACAAAGCCACACGAACTCCAAAAGATTCAAAATTTCAATGTTTTCCACGTGAAAAATTATACTAATAAAACACAATTAATTGACAATTCTCAAGAAAACAATTCTTGGCAATTCAATTCCCTAGAATTTATTTTCTTTCCACACAAATTTCACTCTTACAATCAAACGGACCCTTAGTCTTTGTAATTTTCACTATTTATTACTTTTCCAAAAATAGGCAAATTTACGCAAAAGATGGCACTACTTATACAAACGGGATCAACAGATTAGCGCTGCCTTAGGAAATGCCACTACAACCAAGAGCATTCCCATGTAAAAAGTTTACCGAAATATTTATTTGGCTTCCCCCTTTAAAAAGGATACATTCTTCAAAAAAGAACAAGTGGAAGCCCCAATAAAGAGATCTGGAGGTGACATCAGTACTTGGATTGCTGATATTTCTTGAAAAAAATGAATATATTGAGATAGAAATCCATTTGTAAGACTCCCTGAAAGTAGGAGGTCTCCAACGAAGAGACCATGAATAAGAGGACCCCTTAAAAATGGGAGGCCACTAAAGAAGTGATTTTGAATAAGTAGACCCCTTAAAAGATGGAGGTCTCTGAAGAAGAGGTCATGAATAAAAAGACCCTCCAATGTGAAGAGGCAACTTCTTCAGTGGCCTTAAATAAGAAGACCCTTTGAAAATGGGGAGGCCGATGAAAAAGTGGCTTTAAATAAATAAACCTCTTGAAAGGGGGGGTGTCTCTAATGAAGAGGTCATGAATAAGATTACCCCCTAAAAAGAGGAGGCCACTGAAGAAGTGGGGGAGATCTCCACATAAGACCCCCCCTGAAAGGGGAAAGGTCGCTGAAAAAGTGGCCTTGAAGAAGTGGACTCCCTAAAAGGGAGGTATTCGATGAAGAGGCTATTGGAAGATACTTTTACAAAAAGGAGGTCATAGAAGAAAATGCCATAAATGGAGCAACGCTGAAGAAGGGCAACTCTATCAAGTGATAAGCAAAAATTTTCAAATTGAAGAGGAACAATGCAATAGAAGAGAAAATGACTAAAATCGTACAAAAATGTAAACTTAGGGATGGAAGTGTACATGGTTCGAAAGTTGAAGGAATTTGAATGTAATTTATCAAGGGTATGATTGAAATAAAAATCAAAATATGAGGATCAAAATTACAAGGCCAAAAGTTGAGAGACCCAGACTTGAAATTACTGAAGGACTTGAAGGCAATTTTCATATTTTGTCTATGCACAAGCATGACCTTCTACATATTCATCATGTAAGGTCTCATATTCGCCTATGCGTCAGCCCCCATGGATGAACCATCCATCATGGGGAAACCTTTGGCAGGATAAATCATTCACCATGTAGGAAAGCATGAGCGCCTCGGATAAGACTCCAAATTCTTCAAAGTTGACATCATATGTCTCCCATAGATGAAATTGAACACCATAGGAGAAGCCTCTGCATTGATGAACTATCTATTGTATAGGGAAGCATGAGTGTATCGGAGAAGAGGTGGTTCCCAAAAAAGACCGTATCCAAATTCCCTAAAGTTGACATCATAAGCCTCACATAGAAGAAGTTGATCGTCATGTGAAAAACCTTTGCATAGATGAACCACCCACCATTTAGGGAATCATGAACGTCTCGAAAAAAAGGTGGATCCTAAAAAAGAGATCACCTCCAAATTCTCCAAGGTTTATATCATATGTCGGATGAAGCTGGACACCTGGGTAAAGCCTCTGTATGGATGAATCATCTACTATACAAGGAAACGTGAGCTCTTTTGAAGGGAGAGTAAAAAAAGGAGCTTACATTCAAACATCCGAAGATGACATTAAAAAAGGCTTCATCTCTACTTCAGCATGAACGTCAAATTTTAGCAAAATAAACCATAACTTCAGCAATTTAGAGCCTCGTCTTTGCATCAAATTTCAGCTAAACTAAAGCATCATTTCAGTCTCTTTAGAACAACTCAACATTCAAATTAAGGCTTCTTACTGTAATAGTAAAAGGAACCACCAAGTCAAGTAAAGGACATGCTGTATCATAATATTACTTTTCAAAATAAGAAGTCCACTCATGACATAAATAATAATACATAGACTTGGGGACTATTGTTACTTCTTAAAACCAAGGCTCAAGAAGAAGCACATACCTTAAAATCGAAGCATTATATAAGTGGCCGAAGTCCTGAAGCTGAAGCGTAAGCAAGTGACTGAAGCCTTGAGCCGAAACACTATCTAAGTGGTTGAAGCTCTCTGTCTCGAAGCTCCTGACAACGAAGACTTCCAATACGAAGCTCTCTTTAGCAAAACTCCTTTTGGTTTAAACTCTTGCTGTCTTTTAGAGGATCTGCAGGTAATTTTTAGGAATGATCGATGTAACGTTTGTAATAATGAATGTCAAGATTGTCAGTTTTGGGTCTAGGGTGGCTATTCCATTGTCAATGTATTAAATGCATAGCAAATTGAGAGACGTGAGGCTTCGACTTAGGCAATGAGGTCAATGGTTCCTATCAAACAGCTACAACTTCGACCAGAACTCTATAAATAAGCAATTCTTGTAACATTTGAATGTAATATAACTCTTCACACTTCAAACCACACCTGATCTTCTCTCTTGCTTATTTCATATTTATTTGCTTGAGTTTAAATTATTTTCACTTTTGTTGAGTTATTTGTAATTGTTAATTAAATATGCAATCACTTTTGATCATATCGTCGGTACTCGAACATTTTTGTCTCGCGTCGTATAGCATTTTTCATATCCATAAACGCAACCCTTCTCCGTTCAAATCTCCTATCAAAACGTATTGAAATTTGTTTGTGTCGATACGACGAGTATGTCCAACATTTGCTGTCCACGTAACCAGTAGAAAACCTGGTCAACAGATTCTATCCTTGTGACGTACCAATCCGAAACACGGCGTTAATTTATTATCATTTTCATACGTATATAATTTTCCCCCTACAACAGGAAAAATAAAAAGAGTCGCCGGTGAAAGGTAAATGGAAAATGAAAAACCAGGAAATTCAGCTGAGTTTTTATCTCCTGTTTCTTGCTCTTCTCCCACTCTCTACACTCGCCCGCCCAATCGTCCTCGTACTCACCCAAGACGATCTCTCCGATCCCACCGCCACACATAATCTCTCCTCACTAGATGACTTCGTCGTCAATTCATCGGACTTCGACGACTTCCCTGATTTCGAATCTCGAATCGACTCCGTCATTGACCCTGGCTCTTGGTCCCCCGTATTGGAATCCGAAATGGATGAATCTAATAACGCGTTGATTAATAGTGAATTGATCTATTATAGTGTGGTGAGGCTGATGGTGGAGGCGGCGAGTAGGGGTGAATACAGGCTGATTGAGGAGGCAGTCTCTGAGATCGATGCAACGAGTACTGGCGGTGACCCGCATGCACAGTCGGTTATGGGGTTTTTTTATAATACAGGGATGACTAGGGAGAAGAACAAAGCTAAGGGGTTTTTGTATCATTATTTTGCGGCGCAGGGTGGGAATATGCAGTCGAAGATGGCGCTTGCTTACACTTACTATAGCCAAGAAGTAAGCTTCGAAATTAGTGCTGCTTAATGTATAAATACTGCGGTGATTTTGTATGTATTCTTTATGTATGCGTGGATGTTTTCTAGTGTTATTTTGATTTGATGGAGAGTTTTAGAATTGGATATGTTGAAGGCAAAGAAATGCTGGTCTAAAATGCGTGGAAAACCTAGTTCTTGTAATGGTTGAACTCCAATTTCACACCAAACTTAATCAAACACCAAATAAATCAGAATAATGTAACTAAATTCAATACTCAATACTGAAATGTAAACTATATTTCATTCAACTGCTATTTTCTATTACAATGCAAAGGATTACAAGTGAAAGAACAATTATAAAGGAGAAAATATCGATCAGCAGAGGAATAAGCAGCAGAAACAGGGAAGAAGTAGGGAAAGAACTTTACCAGAGAGACGAACGGGGACATAGAAGAAGAAGAACAGGAGATGGGAGGAGAAGATGGTGAAGAGGAAGAAATCAGAGAGCCGGAGGAGAAGAGGAAGAAGAGGCAGTAGACCACGATTCACTTCATCGATCCTTTCCAAATGCAGATATACCACTACGTATAGACCCAAACAACAAGGGCTTTGAGCTAGGCCACTGACAACACAAGCCCAATTAGATCAAATAAAGGTAAATTGTCCAATAAGCAAGAGTCCATGACATCCCTTCCCCTTAAATTAACCTTGTCCTCAAGGTTAAAAGCCTGTGATGTCTTCTTTGTATGTTGTTAGCAGCTGTCTCATTCTCTTCACCACCCTTAGAATAAGCAAGTAGTGCAATGTGACATATGCTTGGTTGACATTACCTGCACCACTCTTTTCATCCTTTCCGTTAGACCATTTGTCATGCTGTAAGGGCCTCTCAACATGATAACTGCTATTTCTGGCTGGGAATGTATTGCCTGAATTATATTATTGATCTACACTTGGACAAGAATTTGCCATTACAGTTCCTGAAGAAGTATTACATGCAATGCTCTCTTTACTTAAATTTGACCAAAAACTTACTCCAGATGATAGAGCTTGAGGGGTTAACCTTAGGACAATATATGTTAAAAGGTTCACAGTATCGTCAGGAGAAAGTGTTGGGGACACAAACAGGTCCTGGAAAATTGTAAGCAAGTCACACTTTGAGTTCCCAGCAAATGATTCTAATATTTGGACAAGTGATTGAACATCAGTTGCAGCCTCTAGAGAGAATATTCTAGTGAAAGTGACAAATCCTTCACTGAGGCCAATGGCAAAAAGATGAGTGGTCAATGACAAATTAGCAGGATGGAAGAAGAGAATCTTGTCCAACTCCTACTCTTCATTTTTGCCCCTTCACGAATCAAACATACACAGTTTCACCTCTTCACAACATTGCTCCCAGATGATAATACCATCTCTAATCCCAATTTTCTTGCACCCGCACTGGTACAGGCTCTGGCTACTCCAGAATTAGCTTTATTTGTCATTCCAAACTCCATTTCGGCCTTGGAGGTTGAAATCTCCTCTATAGTTACTTTATCAGCAACCTCAATTTTGAATCATTTAATTCAATAGCAACCTTCGCCTTGAAGTCTATAGCATCAGCTGTTGATACTTTTGTATTGCTTTCCACCATTTGAGATTCCATTGGTTCAACCTTCGCTACTTCCTCATTTTCAAACTTTTGAACACTTGCTTGCTCATACCATGATAAAACTAAAGAGATCCAAATTGCATTTTCTCTTGGATGCTACTTAGAGCATCCTTGTCTGTTCCATAATTGCCATTCCCAATTGTTCTGAAGCTATATTCACCATCAAGTGTATATTCACCAACTGAGTTGGGTGCAATTTCTTCAACTTTATCCTCATTTCCATCAGCAATTAGTATGCTCCTTCCATGTCCTTTGATTTGATCAGACCATGTTTCTGTAGAAATCAGTGGAATGGGGATGATGTAAACATTCTCACAAGAAAGGACTTCAAAATTACTATGTTGCTCGACCCTTGTAGCACTATACTTATCATGTCCAATAGGCCTTAAGCAACATCCAACTACAGGGTCATTATCCACAAACTTCTCAACGTCGCATTTAAGTTCATTCGTTGATGGAGAGAGATGTTCATCATTTACAACAATATCACATGTTTCCACATTATCATCTGGACCAAATAAACCACTTCCAGAGACTCTGCGTTGTTTGGAATTCTCTAAGGTAACAGAATTTTTAATTACCTTGTTTATATCAACAGTTGATGCTTAAGTGAATTGAAAAGGTGAATGGCTTCCAGAACTTTTCCCCGGCACATTGTAAAGATCGTCGGATATTTCAACAATACAATCAGGGACATGTGTTGATTGAGCCTCCATCGTTTTAGTCAATATTGAAATCATCTGCTCATGAATCCTATTAAAATCTTCCCTTATGATATCCAATCGAGAGACACCCAAGGATTGTAGCTGCTCTGATACCATTTGTAATGGTTGAACTCCAATTTCACACCAAAACTCAATCAAACACCAAATAAATCAGAATAATGGAACTAAATTCAATACTCAGCGCTTAAATGTAAACTATATTTCATTCAACTGCTATTTTCTATTACAATGCAAGAGATTACAAGTGAAAGAACAATTATAAAGGAGAAAATATCGATCAGCAGAGGAAGAAGAGGAATAAGCAGGAGAAACAGGGAAGAAGAGGAAGAAGCAGGGGAAGAACTTTACCAGAGAGACGAACGGGGACAGAGAAGAAGAAGAAGAAGAAGAAGAAGAAGAAGAAGAAGGGAGGAGAAGACGGTGAAGAGGAAGAAATCAGAGAGTCGGAGGAGAAGAGGAAGAAGAGGCAGCAGACCACGATTCACTTCATCGATCCCTTTCCAAATGCATACCACTATATATAGACCCAAACAACAAGGGCTTTGGACTAGCCCACTGACAATACAAGCCCAATTAGATCAAATAAAGGTAAATGGTCCAATAAACAAGAGTCCATGACAATTCTCTGATGTGCTATTCTTGTTCGAGGGGTTGGGGTTGAAGGGATTCGATAAAGAGTTGGTCAGGGTAGGAATTCAATAGTTTAGCAAAATTGGGTAATATAGATAAACCTTAGAATTATTTGGTGATGAACACTGGGAATGGGAGAACCTTGGTGTTTTGGAATATAAATAATATAGTTTTGCACGAAATGTTAAAGAGTTATCTCGTTTCTATTCATGCAAAAACGTGAGTTTGAACTTTGGTGGAAGTTCTTAATAAAACTTCTGAAGAAGATTCTTTGTGCTGATAGGTTTGGGGAATCCGATGATTTTGGATGCAAGTGAGAACCTTTCAATGATTAATCTGAAATTAATTGTTTTAAGGTTGCTAGAACCCTACAATGTTGGTAGATGATTTTACTCGGATATGCTGAAAGCGAAGAATTTAGAGCTGGCGCCTGAATCATTCTAATAAATTTCAGGTTGGAGATTTTTATCTCTGACTGACTGAGAGTCCAGTATATACCTTTGTGGTGTCTTTGTTTAGTTTGTTTGAAAAGAATGGCGAACACTAAATTTCAAGTAGAGTCTTTCAAGTTATTTATTAACCTATTTTGGCTCATGTTTATTAATTGTTTATAAACACTCAAGCCACATTTTATTAACATGTTTTGAGGGATCAACAAGTATTATCCACTTATCCACCATTCATTTCTATTTATTTATAATTTAAACTGTTTATAAATGCTTCCCAAAAATGCTTTAAGGTTGTCGTCGATTCTATTGTCGATTGAGTTTTATCACATAATTAAAAATTTTGAAGGCATTAATTTCCTTCTATACTTTCCTATATTTTGTATCTTCAATAAATAACGCTCTTCCAAAATGTTTTTTGGATCCTATTTCAGAGGATGCATTAATCTGTCAAAAAGTATTAAGAGATGAGATACCTCAGTAGTGGCTTTAATAAATAAAAAACTTAGGGTCTGTTTGGCACAGGTGTGTGGGTAGAGCTTATAGCTGGAGAGTTTTTGGCAGTAGAACTTTTGAAAGTGCTTTTGCAAAAACCTTATTTTTTATTTAATTGGGTTGAAAAAGTATTTTTTGGGGAATATTAATGTGTATTTTGTTGATTTTAAAGCTTCATTAAATGTAAAATACAAATTTCTGTAAAAGCTCAAATAGAGCTTTTTAGAGAAGCTTCAAAATTTGGGTTTCTCTAAAACAACTTTTTTAAATTGTTTTTTAGGTCGGAAAGTGCTTTTTGACTTTAGCCAAACAATCAATATTTGAAATGACAGAAAGTGCTTTTAGGCTTTGGAAAAGCCCTTCCTAACACTCTTACTCTTTTCAGAACAGAAAGTTCTACTAGAACTTTTGACTGAAATATTCTTGAGACCAGGCTCTAGTTGAGAGGAGTTGTAATTTATTTCTTTATACAGAACTTTTTTTGATGAAAACAATGTTGTAGTTAAACAATATCTTAAGGTGGGGATTTTTTTATTTTTTATTTTAATTTGGTGCATATGCATGATAGAGCAGTTAAGTTGTATGCTACTATGCTGAATTGGCAGAAGTGGTTGTGAATAGTTTTCTTATCTCAAAGGACTCGCCTATGATTGAACCAATTAGGATCCACAATGGTGTAGAGGAGAATAAGGTAGCTCTGAGGAAGTCCAGAGGAGAGGAAGATGAAGACTTCCAGATTTTGGAGTACCGGGCGCAGAAAGGGAACGCCGGAGCTGTTGGGAATTTACTTAACATGTACAGCGAAAAATTAACAATTTTTCAATTCTCACCAATGATCTGCAATGTGTTTAGATAGAAATTGTGATAAGAATTATACATTTGATGAATTCCGCAAACTCTTTTGCTGATTCTCGAACTCCAATGATCAAGATCTACAATCCAAACCGTCCAATTGTCCAGCCTCTAATGGTGATCCACACAGAGAACAAGAATGACGGCTAAGATTTTTTTTTTTCTTGTGCTAGCAAGAATAATGAAAAAAATTTCTACAACTTACAAACTCTAACAGCTTATTAATATAAGCCCAAGTGGGCTTGACCCATCT